TTAATAAGTGGAAAGGAATATTTCACACTCAGAACAGACACCAGGATACAAAATTACAAGTGTTTAGCCCCAGTCCTGTCCCCCTCCCCTCTCAGAGCAGACAGTAAGGAGACTGGAAGCAAACAAGCAATTCTGTAAAACAGAGACTTCAAATCCCTGCAAATATGATTAAAATCTAAATTGGTTTTGCTTAAAAATTTTTTTTTAATACATCAAAAGGCCTGTTTTAGTGACATGCTAGTTCCCCAGAAAATAACCCAATACCCCCTTGTCAGTAACATACATGCGCAAGTAGACCAGCCAACTCATATTTCTAAACCCCTGTGCATATGTGTGTCTTTATAAACCAAAGCCAGGGGGCTTGGGTGACCGCTGCTGTTTGCTCCTGTTAGCCAGCTATGTCCAGAAGGGCAGGCAGGGCACAGAAACCCTTAAATGGTAGTGAGGGTTTAAGAGCCCCTAACAGCCAACTTTTCAAGCACCGTCACCCTCACCCCCCCTCAAAAGGAGAGCCTTATTTCTAACCAGACTCCTCACTCAAATTTGGCTCCCAGTGACCAGGACGGTTTGTCTCCTTTAGAAAAAGCACACATATCCACACACCCATATATATAATTTTTTTCTCATTTAAATACAAAAACACTACTCTGATTTGTGTTATAAACGGAGGACCAAGCAATGAGAACTTTTTCTTCGAAGGCAGGGCTACCCATTCTGTCCCTTTATGCTGAGTTTACCTTCCAGTGAGGGTACTCAGCCCCAGGCCAGGGAAGCAGGTCACTGCAAAGGGGTCACAGTTGGCCGGTAAGAGGGCATCTTCCTGCCTGCTGCCCCCCACCTTTCCTAGTTCTCACTTTAATTAGAAAGCTGGTTATGCTCTAGCCCAGCCGTGGGCAAACTACGGCCCGCGGGCCGGATCCAGCCCATTTGAAATGAATAAAACTAAAAAAAAAAAAGACCATACCCTTTTATGTAATGATGTTTACTTTGAATTTATATTAGTTCGCACAAACACTCCATCCATGCTTTTGTTTCGGCCCTCCGGTCCAGTTTAAGAACCCATTGTGACCCTCGAGTCAAAAAGTTTGCCCACCCCTGCTCTAGCCAGTTTGGCTCAGTGGCTAGAGCATTGGCCTGTGAACTGAAGGATCCCAGGTTCGATTCTAGTCAAGGGCACATGCCCAGGTTGCAGGCTCCATCCCCAGTAGGGGCCATGCAGGAGGCAGCCGATCAATGATTCTCTCTCATCGATGTTTCTATCTCTCTCTTCCTCTTTGAAATCAATTTAAAAAAAGAAGAAAGCTGGTTATAGCCTTTCAAGAAATGGAACTTCCCCACAAAAGGGAGTATCTAACCTAACCACAGAGCAAGCCCAGCACTCCTACCCCCTTCAGCTCCTCAAAGAAGAAGACCCTCCCTTCCCTTCATAAATACTATGCTCGCTGGCCAGATAGCTAGACCTGTAGGACAAACACCTGATTAAGTGAAGCAGTGGTTATGTTTCCCCGCCCCCCTCCCCACTAACATACTAGAAAGCTTCAGTGATGGGGGGGGGGGGGGGGGAGTGAGAGTGTGTGTGTGTGTGTGTGTGTGTGAAGAGACTAAGAACTTGACCCCTCTAACCTGGCCAAAGAAAGCAAGAGATATCAACTGGGCACGAGGAATAAAAAAAGATTTTTATATTTTGCCCTGTGAGTTACATTTGTTATGATAATTGAGGGGTAAGAGTGGGAGCGGGATGAAGAAGTAATTGGAAGGGGTTGGATGGCTGCAAGTCTAGTCCACTTCGTTTTTGTACTGGACGGGCTCATCGCCAGTTTCGTTGAGAAGACACGTGTGGCTGAGGGCTTCTGTCACTGCGAAGAGGTCACAGTTGGCAGAGGGGTGCCGGTCTTCAAAGTACCCCTTCTGGCCCACAGCCCGGGGAATGCGATGCTGGCTCTACGGTTGGCCACACAGGCAGAGAAGTCGTTAATGGTGGAGGTTTCGTTGGATCCAGTTAGCCGCCGGGCATTGTCCCGGCCCCCCTTGGGCTCGTAGGCTCGGATGTGGTACTGGTGCTGCCTGCTCAGCCTCTCGATGGACTCCTCTGTACTTCAGACCGTTCTCCTCTCGCATGGCCTTGGTGCTGAAGTCGGTGTGGCCGTCTGCACCATCCCAGTTTCCAGGAATGGGCTTGGGATCACAGGTTGCTATCACTCCAAAGTCTTCACACACTCGGTGCAAGATGAAACGGGCCACCCAGAGAAGATCTCCCATGTCGATTCCTTCACGGGGACCTATCTGGAATTCCCACTGGGCGGGCACGACCTCGGCATTTGTCCCTGAGATCTTTGCCAACGTACAAGCAGGCCTGGCAGTGAGTCTCCACAGTATCCCTGCCGTAGGCTCTGTCTGCTCCCACGCCGCAGTAGTGCTCATGAGAGTATATTCCTGCTCCGTTCCAAACCAGGGATGCTGATTGCTCATCATGTCCATTATCCGTTTGCAGGTATAGCTTAAATTAAATTTGTCTCTGCAGGTTTGCGGTTGTACTTTAAGACTTCACAGAACACCAGCTTGTTGGGGTCCTTGCGGAAAGGGTCCTGAAATATGGCAGCAGGAACGAGATACATGTCACTGTTGGAGCCTTCAGGCTGCATAGTACTAGAGCCACCAAAATTCCACTCGGGCAACTCTTCTATACTCTTGGGCTCACTGTCCAGGGTCCAGGTCTTGCATCGCAGTCCTTCTCCAGCACCATCAATCCAGATGTACACAGCTTGGACTGTATCACCCTGAGGCAGGGACATGTACATCTGCTTGATGCCTTTGTTCAGTGGGAACTCGCCGAGGTGGACATGGTGGAAGTTGCTCTGGGGGGTGAGCAGGCAGCAGGAGGGCAGGGCGGGCAGGCCGTGAGAGCGAGGTGCAGAGGAGAGAGGAAGCTGGGAGTGCTGCTCAGACACTCGGCTCTTCTCCCATCTTCAGCCCTCGGCATGAAGCTTTTTAATACCTCAGAACAGGGGCTGGGGGCTCAGCCAGGCCTTTCTCCAAGGCTGCGGGACCCAGGCCAGACCCTGGTCCCAGCCAGGATGGCCCAGAACTTGTCCCTACGGCTGCCCTCAGGATACCCATAGCCTGGGCCTTGGTGTACCTGCTGACCCCTGAGGGACTGAGAGCCCATCTCTGGTCTAGAGAAGGAGTGTAGCGGACAGTCCAGTCCCCAGAGGGTCACCAAGCAGCCAGCAGGGGAGTGGGCCCACCATGAGCCTCTGCCAGTTGCACCTTTTGGTCCTTCCTGCCTGCAGGCAGGGGTGTGCCCGGCAAAGTGGAACACAGAGGAATTATTTGTTCCCACTCTGTCCCCAGGCACAGTTCACAGCAGGTGCTTGCTAAGTTCTTATTCATGCATTCCATAAACATCCAGGCCTCCTTCATGTCACCAGGTGGGAAGCTCCGCCTGTGTATACACAGGTGTGTGCATGGGCTTGCATATGTGTGGGTGTTTCTGTGTGCATGGGTGTGTGCATGTTATGTACTAGTGAGCATGTGTGCATGAATGTGAACATCTGTGAGTGAAGGCATGGGTGTGCGCACATGTCTGCATGAATGTGTATATGTGGTGTACTAGGGAGTGTGTGCATGGGTATGTGGTTATATGTGCGTGCAAGGCCCTCCTAGGAGTCTCATCCAGTTCATTATTGCTAAGCATGGTAGGTAAGCCCAGGTACCTTTTTTAAAAAAAATTTTTTTTATTGATTTTTAGAGAGAGAAAGGGAGAGGGATAGAGAGAGAGAAACATCGATGAAAGAGAAACATCTTTGATCAGGGCTGCCTCCTGCAAGTCCTCCACTGGGGATCGAGCCCACAACCCAGGCATGTGCCCTCAGCCGGAATCGAACCTGGGACCCTTCAGTCCGCAGGCTGATGCTCTATCCACTGAGCCAAGCTGGCCAGGGCAGCCCAGGTACCTTTTGAGAGTCAGTCTACACGTGGGGGAGAGCTGACCATGGCCACAGAAGAGGCCTGCTGTGGACCTGTTTGAACCAGCCTGCGAACCTAACGGTGCCCCATGGGAAACACGCCATCATGGCAGGGCCTGAGCACCCTGCGGGCCAGAGCTCCAGAGACCGATTTGTGCTGGATTCCTGGTACTGACAAGCTGCAGCAGGTGCACTGAGAAGGAGGGGCAGGTCTGGCCGCCCGACCTGGCCTGCTGAAACTGCAGTTCTGGGATGATCCGCTGGATCCAGGCATAAGGGAGGTAACCTGGGTGTAGACTCCTGGGTGGTTCTGGCGGGAACAACCCTCACCCCAGCTGACCACCCCAGCCTGTAGCCACAACTGGCCCACCAGGCACATCGGAGGGCCCCCTGAGTCTCCCAGTGGATACGGCCCCAAATCCAGCCTCCTCCCTGCAGCTTTGGACTCAGCAGGGGGGAGGTGGAGGCTGAAGGAGAGGTGGCGGAAAAGGAGCTGGGGTCAAGAGGAACCTGAGGAACAGAGAGCCCCTGGAGAGGCCCCTGCCTACTCCCCACTGGAGTAGGAAAGTATTGTGGTGGGGGCATCACCCCTGATGTTATTTGAAGAAGTCCTGGGGTGATTCAGAAATAGAAAGTGGGAGCTGTGATTCCCCCATGTCCCTCAAAACCCTCTTCCTTCAGGCCCCTCTGCCAGGCCCCCATTCTTTCTGCTGGTTTGGTCACTGCCCCTAGTGTCCAGCCCAGGGTGCCCTGGGGCAGCACTTATGGTGAGGGTGGCTGTAGGCAAGGACGATGAGGCAGGCAGGGGTGGGAGCAGGGAAGCTGCCTGTGAGGGGGTCTTGGGAGCAGGTGTCACCAGACACTGAGGACCTGGGCTCCAGTGAGCCTGCCTCAGCTCCCTTCTCACTGGGAGCCTTGCCCTCCACACACCCCCACCCGGTGTTGCCCCCAACTCACACTCCTCAGTACATCTCCCCATCAGGCGCCCCCCCCACTCCCCTCTTGCCCGAAGGGCCCATACCTGGCAGCTGGTACTGAGGTTAGGTTTTTATTGGAGGGTGAACATAAATAAAAATAACTGGCATTTGAAAGAAGAGAGAAACAGCTATTTACAAATGTACATGTGGGCTCCGGGGGCCACACTCGCCTACCTGCCTGAGCAGGGCTCAGAAGCAGGTGAGTAGGGCCATGAGGACCAGGAGGACAGTGTGGGCCGCCAGGCAAGGTGCAAAGCTTTGAACGCGGGGCTGCTGGACCCGGGGCCCCCGCTTCTGGCCGCCCGACCTGGCATGCTGAAACTGCAGTTCCGGGATGATCCGATGGATCCAGTCATAATGGGAGGTAACCCGGATGTAGACGCCTGGGCGGTTCCGGCGGGCACAGCCCTCACCCCAGCTGATCACTCCAGCCTGTAGCCACAACTGGTCCACCAGGCACACCAGGGGGCCTCCTGAGTCACCCTGCAGGGAAAGCAGAGGTACCATCAGAAGCCACACGGGCCTGAGAGCCAACAGGTACACAAGCACACGCACCTGCTTTCCTCCCATTGTCCCTCACCTCCCCACCCTAGGAATGTCCCTGCCCAGCTCCCCTCACCCCAGTGGCTGGCCCTTTTTTGACCTGGGTTGCCCATTTCTCTAGATCTCCCGTCCACCTGCTCAGAGGGGTGTGTTGAAATTGTATTTTCCCGAGTCCCACTGCAGACCTGTTTTTCTCGGCTGACTACACAGCTGTGGTCTGGACACTGGACCCACCAAGTGGGCCTCCTCAGGCCGGGCTGGCTCTCACCTTGACCTAGGCCTGGGGAGCAGGGCTCAGCCTCCATCACAGCTTGTCCCAGCCCCTACCTTGCAGGCGTCCTTCTTGCCCTCAGCGAAGCCAGCACACAGCATGTCGTCCTTGATGGTTTTCGGCTGAAAGCCGGACTCGGCATCTTTGCTGTAGAGTAGGTTACACTTGGGCGTGTCAATGATGGGCACAGCGAGTTTCTGGAGGATTCGAGGGTTAGGCAAGCGATCTGGGGAGGGGCAAACAGCCTCAACTCAGCGGACAGTTCTTGAGAACCACAGCTCCGTCCCTCCCTGTTTTGTGCTTGGGTTTAGACCTCTTCTCGCTTAGGGCTTTGTGAAACAGAATTCCTTCCTCCCTTATTCATGCACCAGGCTGGGTTCTTTCTGTCGTCTCTCCACTTTCCCATGGCTCCTCCTGCATCTGCTGCCCCTTTCCTATACCAACTTCGCCCATTTGAGTAGAGATGTGTACCACTATCAACAGAAAAAGACTGTTGGTTCAGAGTGGCCCCCAACCTGCCTGGGACCTTCCCTGTGGCATGTCCCCCATTCTGTCCTGAACCTGCGCATTACCTTGCTCACTGGGGCTGCCCCAGCCAGTGGCCCAGCATTCCATGCCCGACTCAAAGGTGATCGAGGGGTCAGGCATGCACACGGGGAGGATATAATTGGTGAAGGTCACAGGTGCCTCCAACTCCACCAGGGCCACATCGGCACTGGAGGCCATGCCCTGGTATAGGGGGTTGCTTTTCACCCGCTTCACGCGTGAATACGTGGCATGTGGTCCTGGCTTCACCAGCTGCCGCGCCCCCAGCAGGACCTGGTACAAGGATGTTTCAGAGGTGCTGGTGGGAAAGAGCAGAGAGCTGGTGTGAGGCAGCCCCTCTGAGGTTTCAAAGGGGGAATTGCTGCAGGTTAGATGGAGAAGGGAAAGGGAGTAGTTAGTTTGTTCCTCCCCTGCCAGACACCTTCCTCCTGCTATCCAGGTCCAGTGCCTGACATCTCTGCACAGAAAAGTAATCTCCAGGGGGACACACGTCCGGGTGAGGTGGTTAAGGATGTATGAGCTAAAGCAGCTTTAAATTCTGATTTTAATTCCCAGGTCCACCCCTGGCCAGCTGGGTGACCTTGAGCAATTCACCTATCAAGTTCTCTGTGACTCAGTTTCCTTGGTTGTGAAATGAGGACAGTAAAAGGCTTGCCATGAGGGGTGAAGGAGTTGACTGCCCGCAAGGGAGTAGCTGGGGGCCAATCAACTGGGGGTTGGGCCCAGCCCTTCCCATGAGCCTTGGGCAAGTGAACTACTCCCTCTGAACCTGCATTGCTGAATTTAAGATGCAGAGCTGTGATGAGGCAAGAGCTGAGGTGCTTGGGAAACCCCGAAGGTCAGGGACCAGGTGATTTCACAGTGTAATAGCAGGGATGTGTAGCCTGGCCCTTTGGTCAGGAATGATATGGGTGATCTTAGGGTGAGGAGGAGGAAGAGACAATCTACTCCAGTCCTTGGGCTCATCTGTAACCACAGTCGCAGCCAGGAAAGGGATCTGAAGTGTGTGAGGGGGGATCAGGACCAGGGCCAGGTCATGGGAGGAACCTGCCAGCACTTGTAGGGACAGGGCCCCAGTCCTGGCCAAGCACATCACTAGTGAGACCAGCAGTGGACCTCCCGACTGGGGTGCAGGGAGCAAAGGCTGGGAAGGAGAGATTGAACCTGGAAGTTAGTCCCGAAGGGAGGACTAAAGGTGGGTCAGTGCTGGCCAGAAAGGTGGGTCAGTGCTGGACAGGCGGTAGACACTGTCCAAGGTGCTGAAATCTGGCGGGGCATGGGGCTCTGTCAGCGGTGCCCCTGGTGTGGAGAGAGGCAGAGTGGACATAGGCAGTTAGTAGTGAGGGAGAGTGTGTGTGTGTGGGGGGTGGGTTGGGGGGAGGGAGACTTACTTGGAGAAGCAGTGCGCCGCAGTGAGGACCCACCGATCTGTGATGAGGCTGCCCCCACAGAAGTGGCTTCCATTTCGCTGGATGCTGACCTGCCATGGCCACTCGCCCTCCAAGGCATCCTGCCCACCCACCATCCGGTTCAGCATCCTCGGGCGCCCGCAGACTAGGGGAACACAACCAGGGCAGCACTCACTGGGGGTTGGTTCCGTCAGCTGATTACCTACCCCAACCCCACATTCCAGCTTCCACTTTCTGCTCAATCCTGGGGCCTCCCTGTCCCTGACCTGCTTGGGGACCTTGGGCAAGTCAGAGACCTGGGCATCAGGTCAGCCTCTGACACAGGCATATCCTTCCAAGCTTTGGGAAAGGACCCCACCCCCATGGCCTCAAACACCTCACTCATGAGATGGTGACACCATCGAGGGTTGAGGTAACACATGTAGAGATCTGACCCCATCACCTGACACAGTGGCTCCTGGAAGCACAGTATATGTTGGGAGGGTCTCACCCAGGGTGGGTGACCCCAAGGGAGTCTGTTGTTACAACAGAATGATCTTCGGGTTCTATCCTTTGCTTCTTTCCTGTCACTTTTTCCTGCCCCATCTCCATGCTTCATGCCTCAATGGCCCTCTTGTGCCATCTGCAATGTACAGACCTTCTTCCTGTCTGGGCTCCAATTCCATTGAGCCACAACTTTTCCGTACTTTGGGATTCCCCGTGCCCTGCCCTTCCCATTTATTCTGGGTCTCCTTCCGGGTGAGTGTGAGAGCCTCTGGCCAGTCTTGCTGCTCTCAAGCCTACTCCTGTCCCCCCATCCAAGGGTCTTGCTGCTTACCGTTCAAGGCTTTGGTCATCTGAGTCCCTGAAAGGGAGAGAACGGGGTCATCAGCCAACTTTGCCAGAACAGTTTCTGCTCCTCCTTTCCCCACTGCTGGTCAGTGTGACCCTCCGTTGCTCCATACCCAGCCCCCTGAGAACTCAGGACAGTCCACAAAGGGACCCAGCAGGAGAGGCCAGGGGCCTTCAACGTACCCTGCAGACACTCATTCAAAGTCTACAGGCCCAGGCCTATGGGCCAGAGCTTATCTGCAAGGGCAGACAGACTCCTTGCCATACAGGGAGCTAATTAGAAGATTCCAGTGAGGGGGCCATGTCACAGTTTGACTCTCCTGCTTAGGGCAGGATGGCTCTTCCAGTCTCTGAAGAGGTCTCTTCCTCCACACCTCACACACATCCTTGTCTGGAAGCTCTAGGGAGGATCCAGCCTTAAGGCCTGATGCTGTGGGGTCTGCATTTCCCACCTTGGACAGCCTTGAGCTGGGATAAAGGAAGAGTCCCTGAGAGCGGCCTTTGCATTTCAGAGGTCTGGACGTTCTCACAGTCCAAGGAGCATGTCTCCAATCTAACTTCAATCCCGAGGCTACAGCCTAGCCCACGGCTCTCTCTCTAGGCCAGGGATGGGCAAACTTTTTGACTCAAGGGCCACAATGGGTTCTTAAACTGGACTGAGGGCCGGAACAAAAGCATGGCTGGAGTGTTTGTGTGAACTAATATAAATTCAAAGTAAACATCATTACATAAAAGGGTACAGTCTTTTTTTTTTTAGTTTTATTCATTTCAAATGGGCCGGATCCGGCCCGTGGGCTGTAGTTTGCCCACGGCTGCTCTAGTCTCAGGGGAATAGAGAGAAGCCAGTCAGCGGTCATTGCGGGTTAGTCTTCCCAAGATTCCAGATTCCCAAGAGCTGACCCTTCACTCGCATTTTAGCATGCTCTGCAGGTGGAACCCAAGACCCTCTGCTGGGCCATGGCACCCTGAGGTGGGGGAGGCGGGGGGACAGGTAGAGGAATGAGGTAGAGCTGTTCTTGGGACCCATCTCCCCAGGACCCACTGCCCCTCACATCTCTGGACACAGACACAGGGCCTGCTGCTAGGCCTTTACAGGAACGTCAACCCCAGCCTTGAGACACCAGCCCAGGCGATAGTCTCTTCCACTGCCAGCAACAATGTGGAAATACCTGCCTCGAGATGAGAGAGAGAGAGAGAGAGAGAGAGAGAGAGAGAGAGAGAGAGAGAGAGATGCCTCCCCCAGCATATCTGGTTCACTGGGGACAAATCTGACCAGAGCTAGGGTGAGTGGCTCAGGACAGCCTCTCCTCACCTCAGCCCCCAGAATTTCTCCTGTGTCTCAACTTCTTTCAGGGCATGGAGGGTGGGGAAGCTGCTACTGAACCTGTCCTCACTCTAATCAGAATAGTAACCAGCCCCATGGGGCCCCTGGGGCGGGTAGCACAGGACTGAGCTGTGCACCTCCACGGGGTGCCCAAGGAGGACCCTGTATTCTTTTTATGGGACCCCCAGTCTTCCAGCCAGACTCCTAATCCAAGGCGTCCACTCCCCAGTGCTGAGGTGTTGGGGCTGGATGATGCAGTGAGCAGGAGGCGGGGAGAGCTATGGATGTGGCAAGAAGAGGAGATAGATATGTGGGGGCTGAGAAGGTACAGGAGGGACTGACCATTCTTCAAAGTAGAAAGGGTACCAAGCAGAAGTTCCAGGGCAAGAGTGAGACCAGCCTGGTCCAGTGAATGAAACAGGAAGTCTGTCCTGGACATTCTGCTCATGGATTTGTGTTGCAAGGTGCCCTTTGAAAATGCAAATATACCCTGGGACTGCTGCTCCCTGTAGCTCCCTCATCTTAGCACCATATAATTTAGTTAAATTCATAACACCTGACCCCCAGCTCTTTCTAAGGCAGTGGTTCTCAACCTTGGCTGCACATTAGAATCACCTGGGAATTTTTTTAAAATCCTGACTTCTGGGCCTCACCCTCCGGAAATTCTGTTTCTTTGTTATGGGGTGGGGCCACCACATTAGTAACAAAGAAACAGAATTTCCGGAGGATGAGGCCCAGAAATCAGGATTTTAAAAAGATGCCCAGGTGATTCTAATGTGCAGCCAAGGTTGAGAACCACTGCTCTAAGGACTGAAGCTTCTGCTTGCACATGATGCTCCAGTTCACTCCTATCCCCCACCCCGCCCCTCTCACCCCTGAGCCCCATCTACTCACCAGCACTAATGTACTTACAGGCTTGTTTCCTCCCTGTGGGAATTTTTCAGGGCTTTGTCCTGATTCTCCCCATAGCCATCCCCCTTCCCATCCGTGCAGATGGATCCAGGGTCCACTCCCAGGATCAAGTGTGCATGCGGGGGTGGCCTGGCAGGACCCCTTTGAGGCTTTGCAGACTTCCTCACCCCAACCTAATGCAACTCTGCTTCTCATTCCCATTGAGTCCTCTGGCTTCTGAAGGTTTGCTCACAACACATCCCTTCCTGGAGGCCCTTTACTTCTGGTCTCTATAGCTCCAAATCCTACAGGTCCTACTCCAGATTGAGGCATAGAAGCGATGCCACCTCCTCTGGGCGGCTCTCTTGCTTGCACTGGCATTTGGGAAGCCTGGTTCCCTCTCCTGAACTCTCAGTCTTCCCTCCAGGCCTCACAGAGCTCTGCCCACCTTGCTCACCTGGAGGTAGACTTGCTCACCTCACCTATTGGCCCAGGAGCTCCTTGAAGGCCTACGTCCAGAGGCTTGAGCCCAGGGAATATAGAGGGACAGAAGGAGAGTGGCTACGGGGGCTGGGCTGACCAGGAAGGGGTGGAGACCTGGGCTCTGCAGGGTAGGGATCCTGTCAGGGGCTGGGTAAGCTGGCCATGGGGTCAGGCCCCTTGTCCGGGTCCAGGGCCCCCATGCTCCTGCAGCTGATGGGGGCTTGGCTGGTGGGGATGGCAGCTCCAGGAGGAAGAGCTAGAGGTAGGGGTGAGGAGGGTGTTGAAGAAGTCAGGTCTCTGGTCACAGGTGTTTGTGAGTCAAATGCAGGCCTCTGTTTCTACTGGCATTGACCTTGATTACTCAACCCGTCAGGAGCCATCACTGTGTTAACACCTCCTGACAGAGTTGGGCTCCCTCAAAGAATATTGTTATTCTTATGCCAGGAGGCCAGAAGTGGAGGCCTGGGGGGGCGGGGGGGGGGGGGGGTCAAGGGAGGCTGGCCCTCCATACCGAAGTGCCACCCTGGTGGGAAGCCTGGAGCCATGGCCAAGTTGTGGCCTAGTATGACCCAGCCCGGCCCTGGGAGGTGATGTGAGGACAGGGAAGTGAGGTGGTGGCGGGACTGGCCAGGCTGGCCCAGGAATGCAGGAAGATTTCCCTGGTAGAGAGCAGCCCGCCCCACCAGGAAGGGCCTGGCAGGTGGGGTTCCCTGGCTGGCACCTGCTGACCCTAGCCCATACCCTTCCTTCAAGTGGGAGTAGGAGCCTGCATCGCTGGCCCTCACTCTTCCCTGGCTCCCCACTGAATCCCCACCAGCTTCCTGGGGCTCCCAGGCTCAGGCGGCAGCTCCGCCCTCTGGGGGCCCAGCTGATGGCCATTCAGGGATTTGGAACCCAGGGGCCCTGAGTTCAGGTCCTGTATTCATGCAGCCTGTGTCTTTATATGCAGGATAGGGAGAGGCCAGATGAGAAGCAGCAGAGGCAACAAGCCCAGAGCTTGGCCAGTGAGTGCGGGACACAAGTGGGGGAAGGGTAGCAAAGGCCCTGTCCATGTCGCTGCCTCTTGGGCCTGTGCCTACACCCCCATCCGACCTTCCCGTCTTCACTGCCCCAGGTGGGACATCTGGACTTTCCCACCTGCCTGGGAGGCCCCACCATTAGAGCAGGGAAGGGGGCCATGTGCTGCAGCCCCAGGCCTGGCCAGGGAGTGGGGCTTAGCCAGAGCTCCAGGCAGGGCAGAGGAGACCCCTCTGGGAGGGGAGGAAAGACTTCCTGCAACACCCAGGACTCACCAAACCGAAGCAGCAGCAGCAGGAGCAGGGCCACGGCTGGCGGCTGCCTCATGATCTCAGGCCTGTCTGGGGCGCCGGGTGGGGGACAGCAGTGGCGGGATCTCCGAGAGCACTAGTGTGAGGTACTGGCCTCCATGAAGTGGGGTTTTATGCTGGAGGTGAGTGTCAGCTTGGCTATGCCACCCAACCTGTTGGCCCAGCCTGCCCAGCTCCTATTGGAGGGAAGGAGGCACTCCAGAACCCCAGCTCCTCCATGACCTGGCCCTGAACCCCCTGAATCCCAAAAGGCCAAACCCCTCACCCTAACACCTTAGGGTCCTGGAGTAAGGGTGCACCTGTCTCATTTGGGCACTTGTGGCCTGGGTTTTCTGCCTGCCACCCTGAACTGACCACAGGTCTCACACAGGCAAGCTGACTGCAATCCACCCAGGAGAATTTCCCTGTGTCATTCAGTCATCTGTTCATTCATTCACATTTATTGAGCACTTACTGTGTACCAGGCATCAGGGAGCCGGAGCCCAGGCTGGGGCTTACATTAATGTGTGTGTGTGGTGGTGGTGGGGATGGGGGTTGGCAGGGAGAAGTCCGGGTCGCCTGTACTTTTGCAACAAAGAACAGCGGGGGAAGGAGTGCAGGTGTGGTTGGGGTGTCCCCACCTGATCCCAGTGCCTCTCACGGGCTCCCCGTCCCAAGAAACTGGGTCCCAGAAGCGCCCACCCAAACGTATTGTCCCAAACACACCCCAGGGTGGCCCCAGCTCGCATTCGCGGGGCTGCCCCCTCCTCTCAGGACGACCGGGGACCGGGTGGGGGGTGGGGGAGGCTTCCTGGAACCCGCGGGTTCTGGCGGGCGGGGCGGAAGCCGGTTCCGGGAAGGCCGGGCCGCGGGATGACCTCCCCCTGCGTCCCTCCCTTGGGTGCAGCCGGCCGGCCGGCCTCCCGGGCTCCAGGACGTGTGGCCGAGGCGCAGGAAGCAGCTCGAGGAGGAAGTTTTGGGCACCTGGGGCTGACGTCAGAGCCGGGGCCGGAGCCGGGGTGGCCAGTCCCCGCCCGGGCCGCGGGGTCGGGGTGGGGGCGAAGCCCGGGGCAGGGTCCGTGCTCCCCGCTGGGCCTGCGGGGGGTGCGCTGGGGGCGGGCCGAGCTCCGCCTCCGTTTCCCCGCCGGCGCCAGGGATGCGTGTGGCTGGGGTGTACCGCGGGGCCGCCGCAGTAGACAGTGGGGGGCCCCCCACCCCCGCTGCCGCCTCGGCCTCGGCGGGCGCTCCGGGTCAGCGCAGCTCAGGCCTCCAGTGGGCGCCGGCGACACTGCGGCGGGCGCGGCGGGTGCGAGGGCGGGGCCGCCTCCTCTCCTCCCTGCGGCCCCGCACCCCCTCACCCCTGCACGGCCCCTGGAGCTCGGGGTGGGCGGTCTGGACGAGCGGGGCTGCCTGGGGGCTGCAGGGGACGAGGGAGCGCAGTGGGTGGGAGGGAGGATTCCAGACGCATTCGTTCCTTCATGTGTTCCTTCCAGAAGTATTTTTTAAAAAAATATATTTGTATTGATTTCAGAGAGGAAGGGAGAGGGAGAGAGAGATAGAAACAGCAATGGTGAAAGAGAATCATTGATCGGCTGCCTCCTGCGCACCCCCCACTGGGGATCAAGCCCACAACCCGGGTACGTGCCCTTGACTGGAATCGAACCTGGGACCCTTGAGTCCGCAGGTCGACGCTCTGTCCACTGAGCCACACCAGCCGGGGCCAGAAGTGTTTTTTGAGCACATTTGATGCCCGAGGCTGTTCCAGTAATGGGACCAGCGAGGGGAGCCGCACAGTCCCCGGCTTAGGGTGTGGAGGAGAAATGTCTGACCACAGGCCGTGGGAAGTGTCTCAAAACGCCCAGCACCACAGTCCTCCCGGCCCTGGTGACCAGCCCCCCCCTTCTCAGAGGTGGTTCCGACTCTCCCCAACGGCTTCCTCTCAGGCACCTTTCTCAGTTTTCTCTGCGCCCCCCCCCCCACCCCTCGCCCCCCGCCCCCAAAGCCAATTCTTCTGAGGGCAACTCTGCCTTGAAATCAAACAAGCAACAAAAGTTAAAATGTGGCCAGAAAGCCAGGATGCCGGAGAGAGTTGGACTCGGAGGACCCAGGTAGTCCGGTGGCTAGAGAAGCAGCTGCCAGATTAAACCCAACACCGCGGGCCTCCTGTCTGCAGCCTCCAGGCAGAGCCAGGGACGGGCAGGAGTGCAGTGTGGGCAGGAGGCCAGGTCCATTCCGCACCCTGTCCGCCAGTCAACGAGGAGGATTGGAATCCAGAGGGATTCAAGAACTTAAAAATGTTTTAAAGAAGTTAATCCTTTATTTAAAAAAAAAATAGACGTGGACATTTATCAACTCTGGAAGGGGAAGGAAAATTGGTTACAAAATATAAAGGCCAGCCATAGGAAAATTATTTACAGGAAATGTAGCAAAGTACTCCAGGAATTGATAAGAGAAACACTGAGACCCTCCAGGCGAAATGAACGAAGCATGCAGACGGGTCACCGAAGAGGAAACCAGTTTGGTTAATAGACTTACTGAGAAATGTTCGGCCTCAATAGTTAAATGAATGCAAATCAAAACCATGGCAAAGACATGCTAGTTCTCTATAGAGTGAGCACAGCTGGGGAGGAATGCTATTAGGCAAGGCTGTTGGGAAATGGGCCAGCTGGTGGGCATGCAGCTGGCTCAGCCCTTTTGTAAATCAGTTTGCCAGTCTGTGGCTTCAGCTTTTAAAAATATTTATTTCCTTTCACGCAATGACTTCACTGCTGGAAGTCTAGCCTGAGAGGAATAATATAGAAAAAGGATTATGGCCAAAGATGTTAGTGGCCAGGTTACTTACATTTGCAAAACAAACATAAAAACACAAAATGAATAAACGAATAAAACACTAGTTGGGTGATGATAAATTTTAAAAAATCCTCTGAAAAGAATTTATAAAAATGACATTTCCATGAAGATTGGGTAAATACGGAAAATGCTCATGTTATTATAAGAGCAAATTTTCAAAGGACAGGCATGAAGATTTGTACAAGTATAAAAACTATGAAAAGAAATTAAATTTCAAAGGAACAGCAGCAATCCAAAAGAAAAGTGGAGGGATGTTCGGCAATGACGAGCTAGGAGTGGTTCTGCAGTCATGTGGATTTCTTTCAAAAGCAGGTGACAGGAACTTAGACTCATGAAACACAAAGGGTGTTCATGGGACCTTTGGTCCTAGTTGGTGGGACTGTCGGGTGATTCCCCAGTTGAAGAAAGAGCTGCAGGACCCAGGGTGGTTCTGACAGCCCCCCTTCTCACCCCAGGACGCTCTGCCTCTCTCTGGCGGTGACTGCATTCCGTAACCCCCAAGGTGACTCCCGGAGCTGGGAGGAGCTGGGAGGAGCTGGGAACATGGCTGCCAGCTGGAGTCTCTTCCTTAAGGAATGCCAGCCAAGGGGACCAGAGCTCCTCTGCCTCTGTCTGTGGAAAGATTATTCATTCAGAATGAACAGTCTCAGGGAAGGACATTAACTGGCCCAGCTTGACTCCTGGCCCTATGATTAACCCAGGGTGGTCGCATGGCCACCAGGCGGCCACAGGACAGAGTCTGTTTACAGAAAGGAAGAGGAGGGAAAGATGCTGGTCAGTAAGAAGCAATACTGTAAGCACCACACTCTCGGTCTAGTGTAGAATGAAATAGAGACATTTTAAGACAAGGGAGGCATCAAAACATTTACCTCCCATGCACCGTTCTTGGGAAGCCGCTAGGAAAGATGTTCTCTGAGTAAAGAAGGAATAAACCAAGAAAGCAGGAAATGTGGCTGTAGAAAACAGATCGAACACAGAAAAGAAGGGAAGGGAATCTCCAGGATGTTGATAAAGGGAGATTCTGGAATGACAGCTGTGCCACCAGCATTGAGGGCAATCAGTCCTCATTGGAACCCTGACACAAGAGACAGGAATGCCGACATTGTCCTCACCATGCCCTCTGCCACTGCACTCTTTTCAGTCTGATGAAACTGTTGAATAATGTGCTCCACCAAAACAAGATGTAAATGAAGAAAGAGGAAGCCAAGAGACCAAGGATATAGGGAATTTAAAACAGGAGAAAGATGCCCTGGCCAGGTAGCTCAGTTGGTTAGAGCATTGTCCCCATACACCAAGGTTGTGGGTTCAATCTCCAGTGAGGGCACATATAAGAAACAACTGATGAATGCATAAACAACAAATCAATCAATCTCTCTCTCTATCTCTATCTCTATCTCTCTATCTCTATCTCTATCTCTATCTCTATCTCTATCTCTATCTCTATCTATCTCTCTCCAATACAGGAAGTTTAGACCAGGAGAAAGGCAAATAAAATTCCAAAGGGACATTCTAGAGAAAAGAGAAATGGGAATCTCAAGGAGGGATGCAGCAGAGAAGAAGAAAAAAGGAAGTGATATTTTCTAATGGAATTGACCTTGTGGAGAATTAGAAAATCTGGGTAAGTACAAAGAAATGAACAACAACAAAGGCAATTATTTTTCCATTGATTTTTTATTTATGTATTTATTTAATTTTTATTTATTTATTTATTTAAAATATATTTTATTGATTTTCCACAGAGAGGAAGGGGGCGGGATAGAGAGTTAGAAACATTGATGAGAGAGAAACATCTATCAGCTGCCTCCTGCACACTCCCTACTGGGGATGTGCCCGCAACCAAGGTACATGCCCTTGACCAGAATCGAACCTGGGACCTTTCAGTCTGCAGGCCAACGCTCCATCCACTGAGCCAAACCAGTCTGGGCTTCTACTGATTTTTAGAGAGAGCAGAAGGGAGGGGGAGAGACACAGAAAAACATCAATGTGAGAGAGACACATTGACTGCCTCCTACACGAGCCCCAACCAGGGCCAGGGATCGAGCCTGCAATAAAGATACGTGCCCTTGACTGGGATCGAACCCAGGACCCTTCAGTCTGACACTCTATCCACTGAGCCAAACCAGCTACCATGCATAATTATTATAATGTTATTAACTATATTCCCTATGATATACTCTACATCCCCAAGACTATTTTGTAATATCAATTTGTACTTTTTTTTTAATCTATAGAAAGAGAGGAAGGGAGAGAGAGAAAGTAGATAATCCTTTGCCTT